CTGTCCTACATGGTGGTTCAAGGTTGTCCGTGTCACAAATTCATTGTGAAAATAAGCCCTCAGAACACTGACCAACAAAAATCATTACTGTTCCAATCAGAAGTAATGATGCAGTGCAGACTAACACCTAAATCTGTCAGCAATCATGGGGACCTGAGCTTGAGACCCTGAGTCTATGTTAAAAGCCGGGTGTGGTAGAATACTAGTCATCCAAGTACTGGGGAGGCAGAAAACAGGCAGATCCCTGGCGCTAGCTGACCAGCCAATCTTGCCCTGTGGTGAACTCCAGATTATGTGAGAGACCTTTCCTAAAAGATTAAAGTGTGGGACCAGTGAGGTGACTCAGCTGCTAATGAAGGCTCTTGCCACCAAGCCTAATGAACTGAGTTCAACCCTTGGGCCCCACGTGGAGAAAGGAAACAGTCAACAATTCCAAGTTGTCCTCTGATATCCATGGGCATGCTGTGGTGCACATCCACATATAAAAAAATAAATGCAGCTCAAAAACTGTTAAGAAGGAAGAAATCAACTCAACTGTGGACCAAAATACTCAAAAATAGTCACAGGGTGTTATGTATCAAGGCCTAAGGAGAGGCAGCTGAGCCTTATACTGAGTGTCTACACTCCAAGGATGGAAGAGAAGGCCTCCAAAAATAGCTGTCACAAAAGGAGCATCTGATGGCCTTTTGGAAAGAGCAACTAGAAGGTAGAACTAAATTCAGACACACACAGTTCTGGCTAACGCCTCGTAGGCGGTCATGAGTTAGGTAGTAGGTCTGTAGGTCAGTAGGTCGTTTCAGTGGTCAACAGCAGCCTGGTGCCTTCCTCAGAGGGCTGACATTTTATCCTGGAGAGGTCAGAACTACCCCAATTCAGGAGCTCTCTGTTTTGCTTATCGCTATGTGGCCCAATAAAGACTGAATAGGGTGTGATTCTGGTCCTGACACAGACCTCCTTGTGCCCAACACTCCCTCTCCACCACATCATCTCACAGTGCTACCATCCTGAACCCTCCCACTCTCTCAGACATCAGGGGAAAAGTCTATAAAATGCTAACCCTGAATCACCTGCTGCTTTTGCTGTACTCCTAGGCCGGCTTCCATTTGCTCACTGCAGAGAAGCACAAAGAAGTCAATGTGTTGAAGCCACTTTCAGGTAGGCTCCCTGCCTTCTACATACTAACAGTGGGCTGGGGTTCAGCAAGTAAGGGTGCTCCCTGCCACATCTGACAATCTGAGTTCCACCCACATGTACACACATACACATGCATACACACATACAAATATATATACATAGTGGGGAAAGGGGTTATAAAAAACAAGCCTGTAACTGGAGTATATGATTGTTTGCTAAGACCCTATGATTAGGAGAAGAGGCATCAAGTCAAGTGGTGAACATACAGCATCAGATGTACCATAGCCCATCTATCCCTACACAGACCCAAACATCTCCCCAGCAATACCAAACACCATCTGCTAAAATTGAAAACCCTCCTCCAAAACCTGTTAAGTTCAGTGCCGGCTCAGGCAGCATAATACATACCAAAATACAAGTCTACTATAGGTCCCTGGCATCTTCAGCAAGCCTGCCTCACCTAGCGAGCCCCTGCCCCACCTGTCCAGCGCATGTCGAGCATCCTGCCAGAGAACCAAAAGCCCCATAGAAAAGAAGTGGGTACAGAGTGTTTGTCTAGCACACCCAAAACCTGGTTCTACCCAGGCAGCACTGTATAAACCATGCATGGTGCTTCAAATCTGTAATCACAGCACTCAGGAGGTGGCAGCAGAAGGATTATGAATTCAAGGTCATCCTCCATTCCTTGCTGAGTTTGAGAACAGCCTGGAATCCCTGAGATCTTGGAGGACTGGGGGAGAGTGTGTTTTTCGCCAAGTAAGAGTTACAGCTTGGTAACCCAGAGCTTGAATTAGGTGAGACGTGTCTGAAGGACCCCACTGGTATTTTTCTTAAGAAAGTTGCATTAAACAGTTGAATTAACATAGACCGACTAAATTGACATGGTTCTGGTTTGCCTATTTGGGGGGGGGCAAATAGCGAGAGCCCAGACTTTGAGAGTTTAGCAGTGATTTTTGGTAACAAAAATCCGAATGAGGAATTTGTGCCTTCCCCAAACCAAGTTCATATGATTTGATAAATTTTTAGTCAAGCCCCTTAGGCTGCATTTGGTCTCAAATGACTGTTCTGCTAGAAGTCCGGGTCTAGACTGAGAAATTGCACAGGAAGAACCAGAGGACCCCCGTCTTGCTAACACTGGATCTTCTCACCATCCGGAAATTCTCTTCCGGGCTGTAAGTAGCTGAAAAACCAGCCTCCATTCTTAAATTCCAGGCAAGAAAGACCTCTCCCTTCTCTTGATGAACCTGATACTTGCAGGCTCTGTGCAGTTTGTGTGATATGTAACACGTATTGGGACCTCTAATCCTAAATGTAACAGGCATCTGGAAAGGGTAATTCTTCACTAATCTTTTTACATTTATTGCCTCTGCTGTCTGGGAGTACTCAATTCTAACAAATCCAGTTCAAGCCTTAAAATCGCCCATTTACATCGTTTGCGGATCTTACTATATTTTCAATGGAATCCAGTTATTTATTTGATGAAGAACAAGCTTTGTCTGGCCAGACATCTATACTTCATCCAAAATGTATCTTAGAACTTGTTCCTAAGCTTTTCTATAAATTAAATTGAAAGTTCATCATTTTTTTGATCCAATTGTTAGGGTGTAGATGAGGCAGGTCTGGAAATATAGAGAAATAACTGTATGAAATTTTAATTGTCTATCTGGAAGTAATGATAAATGTTTGATGAGATAGTAATGAGACATGGGGGGAGATGTTAATGAATGTGTGTGACATGAAGAGTTTAAATAAAGGAAGCAGAGGAATTGCTCAGTAGATGCTGTCACTATACACATGTTTGCTACGGCATTTTGGAAGTGAACTAAAAGGTATCCCATGGCTAGTACTACAGTCGGGATAATATTGTGTTTGCCTGTAATGGAGACAAAGACCTTTGCATAATTTTCCCCTGAGAAAAGTATCACCAAAATGACTTCTGGGTCCCTGTGGGTCTGGATTCCTGTGCTTGAGATGGCTTGGGGTTCTTGTGTCTCTGGGAACTGGTTTCTGTTTTCCTATTGTTACTGATAAGAGGGTGTCAGACACAGGGAACAAGGATAGTATAAGATGCCTGGTCACTGATGTTATCAGCCAGGATTGGCCCCAACTTATTTTGACAAAAATTAATGTTGTTTTCCTTTTACAGTCGGGTTGTTTACTTGGAAAAACACTATATAATTAAAACCATTCTATAAGTTATAAGAACAGAAAAGAGGACTGGAGCTCCCAGATCCATTGCTGGGGGTGGCTGTTTTGTTCAGACAAGAACGTGTTGTTTGCAGAAGACAACAGAATTGTCCCCCACAGCCCTTCACCACACCACCTTCCCATAGACTTCAGGAGGTCTTAACTCTAGGCAGGATTTGAGGACAATATTCAAAAAGAAAGACAGAACCAGGAAAAGGAGAGGTGGGAGGGAATCTTAGAGACACCTGGGGCCACAGATCACACACACCCGGGCCAGGCCTCAGCAAACATCAACGCCTTGAGTGAGAATAGCGTACTGGGCTAGAGGGACAGGGAGAAGAGCTTTAAACAGAGAGCTGAACTTTCTCTTACTGTCTTTGAAAGTACCAAAGGGACTCTTTCGTGACCAGGGATAATGACATCCTGCCAGAGCAAGGTTGAGTCCTAAGAGAGTCACCTGTCACCAGCTGCTTCCAGCTTTGAGCACATCAAGCACTCTGCAGAGATTATCACACTTAATCCCAACAGCCTGACAGAGCTACTTTCACCCTTATTTTACAGATGAAATAACCCAGGCCCAAAATCACCAAGCCAGTAAGTGGTAGGACCAGGGTCAAATTCCAGACTTCCCTCGATACCCGTGGCTTCTCCCCTCCCCCGACAGTTCCCTGTGTTCTTTGGGGGTAACATTCCTTGCTACCCGAGCAGAACAGAGATGGAGCATCTTGGGAGCCCTGAATGCTTACCCCCTTGAACATCTGCTGGACAGAGGCCCCTGAGCCTCAGATGGAGAGTGGAGGAACCACTGCACACGGTTTCTCTAACTCTGCTGGGTTAGGGTTAGGAAACCAAGGCCTGAGAGACAGGGAAGGAAGAATGTGCTCTTTGCTCAACGCCCAGCTTAGAAGATTTCATTTGTTCATTCCTTTGTGGCCGACTCTATGAGGTCCAGGTGAATTGTGCCTGAAGGTTTCTGCTTACACCATTCGAATGGAGGCTGGATGGGAGCAGAAAAGAAGGAAAAGGAACAAAGAATGAAAAAGAAAAGGGGGAATGATTGTGCACAAACAGAAGCAAAGCAAGGACTCCATTTGAACTGCCTGTAACAGGCTCAGAGGCCACAAGCCAAGGTTCTTACGGAAGCAAGCGCCTCAAAATACACTATTGCAACTTTATGTATCCACTTTGTAATTTGTACTTAACAGACAGCTATGTAGGCCACCTCCCGGCTCCTCTGATTCCCCACTTAAGAGTTGAGCTCCTGGCTCTGAGATAGGTCTCAAAGTGACTCTCTCCCACCTCACCACCTCCAAATCTTGTGATACCAGCAGTTGACCCAAGGATTGATGTAGACCTTCCAACTCAAACTGTGTCTAAAGCAAATAGGGCCTATAAGCTGCCAGAAGTTGTAGCCCAAGGCCTAGGCTGCAGGAAGACTGAAGTCTGGGTCCTGAAAGTGAGTTGAGAGGCTCGCTTCCCTCCAGGCCTGCTTAATTCTGTCCCAAAATACATCTGCCAGCCCTGTAGCCAGGCTTCCCCCGGCTCTGAAAACACAAGCTGGGTGGTGGGAAGGTCCTAATTTAAAACTGTTGCCTAGTGTCCTCCTAAGCCATACCCAACTCTAAAAGAGAAGAAGAAGAAGAAGAAAGAAGAAGAGAGGGGAAAAAAAAAACTCTCACCATTCAGGCAACAGCTGGAAGGCTTGGCTGAATGGCGCACTTCAATGTGGAAGGTCACAGGATACTGATCTAAGCACTGAGGAGGCTTGCTCACCCAACTGTTGACACTCTGTAAACGGGACAGGCGGGGCCGGTGTGGGCATCTGAGGAAGGAAGTCCCCAACCCCACCCCCAACCACAGAAAGAATAGGAAGCAACTTCTATTCAACACTCACAGGGGTGCCCCGGGGGCCCCCTCCACCCTGGCTAAAGCCACCAAGCCTGTTCCCTGCCTCCAAGTTACCTTGTATTATAACAGGATTAAAGTATATTTAGCTCATCCATTAGCATATTTGAGCCCCCATTTTGGTCTACTTAAGGCTTCCGGTAGCCTTTGATCAGGTTTGCGTTCTGCTGGTCAACAGAAGAACCCCTGCACGCCCTGTGTGGGGGGAGGAGAGGAGACAGTCCGACTGTGAAATTCCCGGAATGCTCCAATATTCTATTGTTTTTCTTAAACAGCCCAGTTTACACCCAGAGTTGTGGGGGGGATGTCGAGAACCAATAATAATTAGGTCTTAGTCGGAAGAGGAGAGAAAGGATTTGTGCTCTCCTAAGAAAAGGCGGGGAGGGGGAAACCCTATAATTTCTACAGTGTCTGCCTTTTTATTGCTTTCATTTGCATATAAATTAAATCCATATTGTAGCTTTAAGGCAAGCGGGGCTTAGAATTCCACACAGCCTGGGGTCCTATTGTCTTACAGCCAGTTCTAGGCGGTGGGAGCAAAATGAAAGGGAAGGGCCAGGCTCGGGAAAGAGAAAGTCAGTTCTGTAACGTTTTTAATTGCTTGTTTGTTTTCTCCACCAATTACAGGCAAATTAATATTTAAACTTTGGGAGGCTGTAAGGAAAATGCTTACAATGTTAAGTCGGAGTCCAGGTTGGGGGGGGGGCGTGCTTTGGTCCTGCAGCTAAGATTTCGATGCAGTGAAATTAAAAAAAAAAACAGCATCACAGAACTTGTTTTCCTTTCTTCTCTCATCAGCACACTGAGAATCAATGGCAATTCCACAGTGATGTGGGGGTAGGGAGTGCCAATTGCCCTGGTAGGGTCCTGGCTAGGCTTGGACATTGCTTGGCTCTCCGCTGAACACACACTTGCACCTGCCTGTGCCATACCAGGGAGGGCTTTTGGCATGCTAGGCGGCAGACCACTGTATGTGTGCTACGCCGCCCCGCCAATGATACAGGAAGAGTGACCCTAGACTAATACTAAAGAGCTTGGCCCAGGAGCTTTCAGATTCCTGGTAAAACTGGTCTCACAAACCCCCACACATTACTGTAGCAAATGCATCAACACAGAAGTAGTGAAAGAAATGTCTGAAAAGGGTGCAGAGGTCAGGAACATGCCACGAAAAGTCCTTCATGCTTGTACCCTAAAAAACACTCCCGGCCCTGGGGATGTAGTTCAACGGCAAAGAACTTGCACACACCACATGAGCAAACACACACACACACACACACACAGGACCACAAACATTAGAGTAAGCAGTGGGCTTGGGAAGGACCACCTCTTTGGAGTTTTAGTCTGATCCATTCATAGAAAGAATACAGAGAACTTCCAGATAAAAAGGTAACTACGCAGCTGTGCAAATGGCTTAGTGTGTGATGTGTAAAGGTACTTGCAGCCAAGTCTGACAATTTAAGTTCCATCCCCAGGCCCAACATGCTGGAAGAAAAGAACCAATTTCTAGAGCCAGTTCCTGAAAATTGTCCTTTGATCTCCATACATGTACCATATGCACACATGCACACACGCGCGCACACACACACACATAAATGTAAATAAAAGATTTTTAAAATAATCTGCTTTACTGAATTCTAATCAAATGTTAAGACAGCAGGAGCCCACAGCTGAACCTGGCATCCTCTTTTGCTGTTTCCCTTTCGTTTTATTTACTCATTTCCTTTGAGATAGATTGCCTGAAACTCCATGTAATGAACAACTACAGACTTTAGTCCTCCTGCCTTCACCTCCCAAGTGCTGGCTCACTGGTGTAAACCATCAGTACCAGGTTTCTGTTCCAGGTTTCTGTGGCGCTGAGGATAGTACCCAGGGCTTCTTGCATCCTGGGCAAGCTTTCTACAGAGTGAACTGTACCGCATTCCCAGCCTCTGACTGGCTTTTTAAAATAAGCACACATACTCTGAAGACAATAATCTGTCTCAACCACTCACCTCCCAAACCATCCTTCTCATCACAGGTAGAGTATCAATACCTAATATAGGAAGAGAGGATGGTTGAGTTACTATCAAATTCCCTTCGTCAATCTCCACCCTTAGTACCTGGTTCCCCATCCTGACTCCCCATCTGAAATTCTTTTGCCTCTGCTAGGACCCCTGAGATCCAGACTCTCTACCCTCTACTTCCATGCACCCTCTTTTATTGGCTCTGCCTGTCTTTTGGCCCAACTCTCTTTTTATAGTTCATTATGTTATCTTCCAAGAAATAATAGCCGCAGTGCTGCAGCATCCTTAACACAGCCTCCCCTCTCCTTTACACTTAGTATCTTGGAAAATTTTATACTTGCCCCTGTGATGGGAACATTGCCTCCCCTTCCACTGAAGTCTTCTATATTTATTTTTCATTGTCCTCTTGGGCTATGCCAAACACTCCATGTTCCTCAGTTACCTAAACAGGATTTCTGTGCTGTGTATGTGTGTATGTGGTGTGTGTGTGTGTGTGTGTGTGTGTGTGGTGTCTGTGTGTGTATGATGTGTCTGATATGTGTGTATACAGTGTATGTGTATGGTGTGTGTGTATGTGTGTGATGTGTGTGTACGGTATGTGTGTGTATATGTGTGTATGGTGTATGTGTGTATAGTATGTGTGTGTATGTGTCTGTGTGTGTGGTGTGTGTGTGTGTGAGTGTGGTATGTGTGTGTGGTGTGATGCTTGTGAGGATGTGTGTGTGCGTGTGTGTGTGTGTGTGTGTGTGTGTGTGTGTGTGTGTGTGTGTAGAGGCCAGATGTTAATGCCAATTGTCTTCCTCAGCCTCTCTCCACCTTATCTTTTGGGACAGGATCTCTCACCGAGCCTGGAGCTTACTGTTTCAGCTAGACTGGCCAGCCAGCAAGCCTCAGAGATGCACCTATCTCTCTCTGTCTTCCCAGGGACCTGTCAACCTCTCTGGATCTGGGATTAAAACCCAGATCTTCATGCTTGCACTGCAAACACTGCTGGCTGAGCATCTCCCTGGCCCCTGGAACAGTGTTTTCTTCAAAACAAGCTCTAGAGAGTCCTCTCTAATGAGGTCCCTGATAATTAGTACCCAGATGAGAAACCATTTCTGGTAAGAAAGTGATGGCCTAACTGGGTATATTCTGTTTCTGGGATCTATAAATCCAGAAAGTTCAAATCTCCACAGTGAAATGGCAATTCCAGCATATCCTCTTTGTATGTCAAAAGCTTTGTAGTCAACTTATAGCCTAACTCACTGAAAATCAGCAAGAGGCTGGCTACCTGGCGTGTTTCAAGAAAATGATAAGAGTAGCAGATTGGGAGATGGATTGCCTTACAAACATGAGAACTTGAGTTAGACCTCCAGAACATGCATAAAAAAAAGAAACTTGGAGCCGGGCAGTGATGGCGCACGCCTTTAATCCCAGCACTCGGGAGGCAGAGGCAGGCGGATCTCTGTGAGTTCAAGGCCGGGCTGGACCGACAGCCTCCAAAACAATACAGAGAAACCCTGTCTCATAAAAACCAAAAAAAAAAAAAAAAGACAGAAACTTGGGTGTAACTGACAAGATGGCCCTGCAGATAAGAACACCAAGCCTGACCATCTTAAGTTTGATCCCCAGAGTCCCTATGGTAGACAGAATCACTTCCTGCAAATTGTCCTCTGGCCTATGAATGGAAAATAGAAATGAAAAGGAAAGGAAAAGTCATGACTGCTCCTAGGTATGGTGGAGGAGAAGGTTTATTACAGATAAGAGGGAGAGCATAGCCAGAGGCAGGGACATCTGGGAGAGTCCAGAGCAGCCATGACCCACTGATCTGGATCATGTGAGAAGAAGGGGGAAGAAAAAGAGAGAAGGGAGAGATTGGAACCAGGTGCAGCAGCCAGGAGGCCACAAGGCTGGCAACCAAAATGTTTGAATCACTACATAGGAAAGAACCCCTGGGGGAAGGGCAGCCCAGCCCCTGGGCTGAAGAGTTGGGGTAGAGGGTGGGGTATGTTGCAACCCATACCCTGTAGTGTGTAGGCACTGAGGGATGCTGGGAGAACCTGCAGGACAAGTCTAGTTTGATATGTTAAATAGGCACCTCAACCATTTGTGCCAGGTTTGAAACCTAACAACATGCATGTACATAACACATTAAATGATAGATAGATGATAGATGATAAATAGGTGATAGATGATTGGTAGATGATAGATAAATAGGAGATAGATAGATAGACACACACACACACATACATAGACAGATAGATGAACTGGGTGTGACAGTAGGCACCTGTAATCCCAACATTGGGGAGACAGACACAAAAGGATCCTTGGGGTTTGCTAGCCAGCCAGCCTGGTCTACTCAGTGAGCTCCAGGCCAGTGAGACATCCTGTCTTAAAAAACAGGTAATAAAGATTGACCTCCAACTTCAATACAACCCCACACATATATGGAGTTGCACATGCATGAACATCCATCCACATGCATGGGCGCGTACTCACACACACACACACATACACACACACATGCACACCCACAAACACACACACACACACACACACACACACAATGGTAGCTAATATTACTTTCTCCCAGTCAGGCTCAATGCCAGATGCTTTTTGGAATTACTTATATCTCATTTTTAGCCCTCACAGTTTGACTGAGCTCTTGACTACAATTAACCCACTTTCACTGGTTGTATAACACAGAGAAGTAAAGAAATTATCCTAAGTCTCACAGTCTATAATTTGCCCAGCAGGGATTCAAACTCAGGCTACCTGCCCAGAATCCATGAATTAATTTAAACATCTGCCATAGCAATTGTGACACCACAGTGCACCAGGCTCTGAGGAGAAGATGTAAGAAAGGTTGTCATTGGTCCTGCAAGGTGGATCTAACTATCTCCACTGGGCTAATCAGAAAGCAACAAGCAAAACTCCTCAGTGACTCCAAATGTTATCCCACCTGCTCCAGCCTCAGGAAGGCCAGGTTGCTCCAGCCCCACCTGGTGGGAAAAGCTGCAGCTCACCTCTTGGTGCCCCTCAAGAGATTTTATAAAGCTCAAGTGGCCTCCCAGGACTCATGAATTGCATGTTAGGGACTGGGGCCAGGAGGGGCTGGGAAGGGAATGGGGACTTAGGCAAACAGATTCTAGGAAATGAGCCTCGAATCTACCCAATTAATGTTGGTTTTCAAAACTCT